GGAGGTGAACTGGAGGTGTTGTCTGGTCTGCAGCTGGATCCACCAAAGGGCTTCAAGTGGAGAAGTGGCAGGTATGCAAAGAAGATATGCCTGTCAGTCCACGGGCAGGGGAGATGGTCTCAGCGTTGCCGTTGGGGGTCTTGGAATTTTGTCCTTTGCTTTAGATGCTGGTTTCCCGACAGCTGTGTGCAGCTGCTCCACGCAGTCTGGCAAAAGCATGTGCTGGAGTGTCTGTGTGTCTGTGTCGATGTGTCTGCAGGTGCGGACGTTCATCTGCTTGTGGCCATCTAGTGGACATTCAGCTTGTGCTGCTTTGGGCTGCGACCGGCTTGTGGTCCATAAAGCTCGTTCTTTGAAAGACCCCTGTTAAAATGCTATTTCAAAGGCAGTATGAACGATTTGGTGAAGCAAAAATTCACCGTTATCTAGCCTGGAGTTTTCCTTTAATAGATGAAGCATGCTAAGGCAGAGAAAATAACATTTTTTTATATTAGGAAGACAAAAAAATCCAATACCAATTCCCCCGTCTGTGTACCTCAGCTTGGAAAGTAGCAGCCAAGAAAATGAGTGTAACCAGTGGAAAATTTTAGGTTGAAACAATACAGAAACAATACACAATAACACCATAGATGTTTTAAAATACCCCTTTGCTAATTCAGATTCCTGGGTCATTGCCAGTTGCAGGGAGATTTCTCTCTTTAGCAGACAATGTTTCAGGTAAACAAACTAACTAATGATTAGGTAAACAAACTAACTAATATAATGAATGTGGATAACAAGGATACATTGAGTCTCATGTCCCTTTGCAAAATGAGAGATTCCTCCTCCTATAATTTGCTCTTCTGCATCATCAATAATCCGAAGAAGTGTCAATTGTCATTTGTGATTCAGAGGAGGAAACTGGCAAGGTTGTCCTTGCCAGTCTTGACTCCAAAACTCCAGCTCCAAAACTCCAGCTCCAAAACTCCAGCTCCAAAACACTTTCAACCCTGTGGTCAAGCATAGAGTGCCTCAACTTTTATTGCTTTGGTCAGTGGGCACTGGAGGTGAGAATTAGATGATGATTAAAGTTAGAAACATTCCCATTTAGAAGGCTTTGCAATATTGCAAGACAAACCTGTCCACTTTACTCTGTTATCCATTTTTTGAGGGTAAGTTTCCTGGAACAAGCTTCCTGGGTTTTCCAGAGGGTGTTTGTGTGAAAATAAAGAGCTGTAAAACTTAAGATATAGCACATTGGTCCAAAAGACACCTCTCCACATCAGATTGTAATAGCACATCTGATGTGCTTCAGTCTAAAATTAATCAGGAGGTTTCCCCACTGCCCACAAGGTATGGAAGCACAGTATTTTTACCATACCCTGAGCTGTGCAACAGAGAACCACATGAAAGCAAGTGAGAAGGAAGGTGCACGGTACACAACCATATCAATAAAGCATTTCACAAAGCTGAGCCAATCCACAGAATGGGAAGGGGCAAGAGGAAACATGGACAAACCTAAACATTGCTTGTAGCAGATCAAATTTTAAAGAGCTGGAAGAAGTAAAGCAAGAAAGGACAGTAAGCAGCTGAAGAATACCAAAACCATGAGTAAATGTAAGTGTAAGGGTGAACCCACTCCAGGAGAAGTGAGGTGCCAATAATAAATAACTGCATATTTGGAAGTTGTGGCTGATGTACCAACAGAGCTGAGAATACCTCTGAATTACTAAAACCAGTGCATAATTCAGCTCAGAATCAAGGCATGGGAAAATTCTGGTAACACATCGAGAAATTTGGAGAAAGCAACGAGATCTCCCAGAAGAAAGTCCCATTGATGGAGCCATCTGAATGAGGACAAAATCATGAGAACAGGCCACAGAGAACAATTCTGCTGATCTGAAATGGCGTGGGAGCTGCCAGTGCCATGCTGGAGCTTTTCTCTCCATGTTCCTTGGGATCGGCTTGTGGTAGAGATGCTGGGCTGGGATCTGATCCCAGCAATATTCTGTAAAGAGCACTGCTGGTTTCACTCAGCTTCATTCATGAGATGAAGATATGGCTCCTGGTATTAAAGCAAGATGGTCAGTCTTCCTGATTTCTATTCTGATAGACATTCTGGGATTTCAAACTTTCATTTTTCCTAGTCAAAACTAAGAGGAAATTTCCATCAAAAACCAAAAATTGGTTTCAGAAATCTCAGAATAATCTTACTGAAATGTTGATGTAATTTTGATATTCCCATTTGGCTTTAAAGCATAGATTTTGCATGTCTTATGCATCTGAGATTAAAATACAGCATTCATAAGAAAGCCATAAATAATTTTGATTACACTTCCACTGGCTGGACACTGTTTTTCCTATGTGATTGAATCAGCATTTTTGATTGAAAATTTTCTGCTGTCTCTAGTCAAGACTGGGCTACCAGCTGGTAAAGCTTCTGCTGCCTCCAGTGTTTAACACAGCCATGGAAAAGGGGATGCTTCAGGGCATCTGGTTTAGTAGCAGTGGGCAGGCTGAGACCTGACCAGAGAGAAGGGAAGAGGAGTGTGAGGCATGGGGAAAGATGTTTGGGACATCAAGGCAGGAGGGAAGAGAAAGGGAAAGGTAGTAAAAGCATCAGTGAATAGGCATCTGATAAAATAAGTTTGAGGGGAGTTTAAGAAGTTGCCCACTTGGTACTTGGTGGAAAAACCTGTTCGTGGGCTGAGATCCTAAGTGCGTCAGCTAGTGACAAAAACAGCTGTACAGAGGTGAGCTTTGCAAGCCACTCTGGGTGCGTGGAAGAGTGTCACTGCAGCCCCAAACCAAGCCAGATTTACAGGCACCAGACATGGGACTGTGCAGGAATTTCTCTCTGAAATCGGAGAGGAGCTCTGCTGTGATGGATCTAACTGTATTGGTTTATCCAGGGCAGAACAGGCAGGATCCCTCTCCTGTCTCAGGTGGGTTAAACTGCCCCCTCACAGCATGGAATTGTAGGGGGGTGGCTGTCCCGCTGCCTGGGTCTGGTGGGTGAAAAAGAAGTATGGAATTTTGGGCTGAGTTTGGAGTAGGAGCCTCCAGTGAAGAGCCTCCAGCTCTTCACTCTGGGCTCTGGGAGTGGGAGGAATGCCTGGAGTGAGAGACCCTGTCAGTATCCTGCTGACTACAGGGCCAAGCAACCCCGTGTTTCACACGGGTATGGAGGAGCAGGTGAAAAGAGGAAGGTGTGCATTCCTGAGGGTCTTTGCTCAGGCTCTGGAGGATTTGCAGCCATCCGTGGTTCAGAGGTTAGGTATTGGCAGTATGAAAGTGTAAATCAGACTGTTCATCATGCAGAGGAGGTGATGTGTGGTGAAGCAGCCCGGCTATAAAATCCCCTCTGACATGCACAGAGTGTCTTCTGCTGGGAGAAGCTGGGATCACAGCCCCTGGGACCACCACCCCACCCAGCTCTCTGCGGGAGCAGGCTGGCTGAGCTCCCAGGAATGGCCAAGGCTGGTTGTCACCAGTGTTAGCAAACCACCCGCCTACCCTGCAGCTCTGTCCCCACCACAGGGCTGCAGTCCCAGGCAGTTCTCTGCACAGGTAGAAGAGGTGAGCTTGCCTTACCAGCTGAGAGCAGGACATCATTCCCTGGCATCAGTGTTACTGTCCCCACGGCAGAGCTGGCGGTCTGGGACAGACCCTCAGTGCCCCCCAGTGCAGCTTGGGCTCCCTCAAGGAAATGAACGGTGGGGACAAGAGAGGGTTAAGCTGTCAGCTCTGTAATGTTAAACAGGTGTCAAAGGCACCTCCATATATCTGCAGATTGAAATCAAATTCTTTGCAGTATAAAAAGATAAATTACCCAGGCGAATCCCGCCTCATCCCACTCATCAGGCCAGCGCCAGACGGCAAGCAATTTTTTTTTTTAATGTGCTAACGACCTAATCAAGCAATCAAGTCGGAGAAGATTGCGGAGTGACCCCGAGCATCCATCTGCCAGCGAGACCCTGCCATTCATTTCCATTCTGCCATGTACTTTCTGGGAAAGGGAGGGAAAAAAAATAGAAAAGAAAAAAAAATCCTAAACAAATTAACACCCAATTTTCTGTGAGTCTAATTAGTTAAATGAGGAGGTGTTTGGGGTGTCCGCAGGGAGGGAGGGGCTGCCTCTTGGAGAGGGGCCTGGTAACTCCATGGCATTAATTAGCGCAGGTCAATGGCGTGGTTCCCTGGGGACCAGCTGCTTTAATTTCCCGTGATATTTCAGTGCCTGAGGCCCATCGATTCAAACTGAAATTAACTTATTTTTCAATCAGGCCTGGGCTGCCCCTGGGGCTGACTCTTCCTTTGCCTCCTTCTGAATAGACCTCAAGCAATTTTTCATCTAAAGCTGATGCCTCTGCTCGGTGGGAAGGGAGGGGAGCCGGGGAGGGAGGAGGGCGAGGGAGACAAGAGGAATGGAAATCAGAGAGAGAGCACTAATAGATTTCTGCCAGTATCACCCCCTCCCCGCCATTGCCGCCCGCCTCTCTGCTCGCTGGCCCCCAGGTCACAGCTCAGAGATTATTCTGCCAATTTTCTGAGAAGATGAGGGGCTTTTCAAACTGGGAATTCAGGGCAAAGCGCACAGATCAGCTTCCCCCTTCTCCTGCTTCTCCTGATCCTCCACCCCCATCCAAGCCCTCCCTTCAGGCACCACTGCCTGCAGCCCTGTGCTGCTGCTCAGACACCCAGTAAATAATAAAAAGAAAATCCCAGGCACAAGAGCCAAAAGCCACTAGAAAAAGACGCTGCAATGGCAAATTAATTACATCCTGCGGAGAGGGGTGGGACCTGCTTTCACACTTGGCCCTTGCCACTCCTGCAAGGGAGGGAGGGAGAGATACCTGGTGTCTACTGCATAGGAAAAGAGGCTGTAGTGCCTTCAGGAGGAGCATCCACACATCTGCCTTCACCATGCTGTACAAACATGTGTGTTCCCATGCGGGAAAGGGACTGACATGCCTTCTCCTTGCAAAAAAACCCATGTGCCTCTTTGTTGCTTGCTTCAGGTTTGGTTCCAGAACCGCCGGGCCAAATGGCGGAAGAGGGAGAAATGCTGGGGCAGGAGCAGTGTGATGGCTGAGTATGGGCTCTACGGTGCCATGGTGCGTCACTCCATCCCACTGCCCGAGTCCATCCTCAAGTCTGCCAAGGATGGCATCATGGAGTCCTGTGCCCCTTGGCTCCTGGGTAAGAGAGCAGCTGCCTTCATGGGTGATGGCGAGTGGGTAGAGACAAAGAGGGGGAAGCAAGGAAGAAATCAGAGTTATGTTGAAAATGGGTGAAGGGCAGCAGGGTGAGGTTCTCCCTGCCCTGCCTCGCTCAATGCCCCCTGTCCCCCAATGACCCTCGTCAATAGGATTTGACGGCTTATCCCAAATTCCTGCTGGACCTTGGACCCTGACCTGCAGAATCTGGTTGGGACAGGAATTTGCCCCCATGCTCAGGCTGATGTTAGCCTTCAATTCCCATGGCTAAAGCATCCTTCATGTTCAGCCCCAGAGCAAAGGCTCTAACCCTTGTCCAGGGCAGGAGGTCATCCCAGTCTCACTCCTCCAGCCCTGTGATGCTGTGTGGGGTATCAGGACCCCCAAATGCACTGTCCTTGCCCCAGGTCCCAGGGGGAACACTCTGCTGCCTCCTCCTGCTCTTGACACCTGGTGGAGCTCCATTTCTGTCTGGTTTCACTTGGTTTTCTGTGCAGACATGGAGGTAGCAGCTACCCTAACACACTCTTGCTCTTTGCTTCCCTCTTTCTGACCTCCCAGGCTGGTTCTGCCCCAAAACCACTGTCTGGCATCTTGACGATGGGCTGTCCTGTCCTTCTGTCTCTGTGAAACAGAGAGGCAGAGGGGCGGTTGTGTGGAGTGGGTTGATACAGAAATAGGCAATAGGGATCTCCCTCCCCATCCTCAGCGAATCTCAGGCAACTGTGCTGCTGTCTGAGACCCTCATCCCCATGCAGGGACAAGTTAGCTTTAGGTTCACAGAGAGAAATGAAGAGGAGAGTAATTATAGACCTTTGGGGGCAGCCCGGAGTCCACAGATGCCAGGCTGCCCCAGCAGGCAGCTACCTTGTCCGGGCTGTCCTCACATGGGTGCAGGAGCAAGTGGCTCCCCGTGACTGCTGTATGAAGTGAGGGTTTCTGCTTTTCCTTAATTCTGGCCTCTCTTTATCTTTGCTGTTTTCAGTTCAAGATGGCTTTCCCATGCCCAGGCGCTTTTCTAAACCCGAATACCAACAATTCTTTTTAGGGATGCACAAAAAGTCTCTGGAGGCAGCGGCTGAAGCGGGGAGGAAGACAGAGGTGGAGCGCCAGGCCCTGCCCAAGCTTGACAAAGGTGACAAGGAAGAGAGGGGTCCGGATCCCAAAACCACCATTTCTCAGGAGGAACTGAGAGAAAACAGCATTGCCGCCCTCAGGGCCAAAGCTCAGGAGCACAGCACCAAAGTCCTGGGGACCATTGCTGGGGACACCCCAGCCCCAGGCAGGAAGCCGGAGACAGGGGAGGAGATGGCAGTGGCAGAGGATGAGAGACAGACGGAGAAGTTGAACTCGTCGCAGAAGGAGGAGAAGCTGATCTAGGGGGAAGAAAGGCGGTGGAAGCCAGCCCCGACAGACACTCTGTCCTCTGGGGACCACATTCCTACTCAGACTGTCAGGCCTCCCTGGCCACCCCTGCCAGGGAGCAGGGCCCTGGTCTCTGTGTTTGGGGCTGCCTGGCAGGGGTGCCCATTGCCTGTTCCCCTTGAGCATACCCTTGCCCCTCAGTCTTCTGCCCCACCAGGCCTTCCTTACCCCCCACCCCTTCCTTTTGGGGGACACACATCATCATTGCCACCTGAGAGGACACCAAGGCTCTGGTCCCTTCAGCCTCATGACTGTCTCTGGGGCTTTTTCCTGCTGCTGCAGCCCCAAAGCCCATCTGCCATCCCGAAGCAAGCCTGTCCCCTGCTGCCGTGGCCCTCCTTGGTGCACTTCTCTCCCCAGTGCTCCCTAAGTCCCTTCCCATTGTGCCCTATTCCACCATGCCCCAGACAGATCCATTTCCTTCCCCTGGCTATCACCTCTGCCTCTGGCCCAGGCCACAGCAGGACAAGCCCATGGCAGTGTTTGCATGAAACGATGACTATCCATGCAGGGTAGTTTGCACTTTCCTCCCATCTCCCTGCCCAGCACTGGGGTCTGCTGGGAAGGGGCTGCAGCTTTAGGCCGGTTATGTTTTGCCCCTGTTTGGCAAGGAGAGGCAGGTTTAGCCCACAGGCAAAACACCCTGGTCCCACCTGGCAATTTGAGGTGACCCCAACCCATGTTGCTGGCTCCTGCAATGCTGGACAATTGGGTCTGACTCTGCCCCAAACTCCAAAGCCCTGCACCCCTGCAGAGAGGCCAGATGGTGAAATTATTTACTGAATACATTATTGCAGGTGAGACAACAACATCCACCTAATGTATTTATTGATTTAAATTTGTCCAGCTCACCCTCTGAGTGTTAAAGGGAAAGACAGCCATGCACATCCACTCTGATACACCCTGTAATGTGTACATACATGCCATATAAGCACATGCAGTCTCACAGAGCCAAACCCACTCCATGGTACCATCACTTTTCCATCCCAGTAGGGCACTATTCCCCCTCCAAAAGCTGTAGGACAGTGACTTCCAGGTGCCCCTTTCTGTCCTGCTTTCAGCTGTGAGCACCCTTTCCCCACAGTTTTTCTTCTGTCAAATGTTCAGCCCGCTCATCCAACCCCTGTTCGTCTTTGTTCCCTGGTCGTTCGACGTGTTAGATTTAGCCCATGGGGTGTAAATAATGTATATACAGTGAGAAAAGAATTCAGTATTGAGGTGTTTGAGATATGGAGCTGTAATAACTTCTAGTCATCCAGCATCTGTGATTTATGTGCCATTTTCTGTAAAGATATGAACAAGAATAAAATTAAACGGGAATACTGTGTATGAGTCTGGTCACCAGTGTTTAAGGAGGGTGAGTTCAGCCAAAGCTGAGAGGGCATTGGATCTCAGGCTGTAGCCAGAGAGGGGTGGGAGATCCAAAGCAGCATAGAAAGAGATCTGCACCTTCCTCCCCACCCAGGCATGGAGAATACAGGGCTTGGGTGCTGCTCTCCCTTTGCAGGGACAAAGTTGAAAGGGATGTGCTTGTACTCAGAGCAGAAGTTACAGCATACAGCCAGTCAGAGAACAAGTCACTTCAGCATCCAGGACAGCCCTGGTGCTTTGGGTCACCCCATATCACATGTGCCATGGTGTTAGAGAGTCAGACAGACCTTTGGGCAGGCTCAACCCCTCTGCCAGGAGCAGGCTGCAGGGCTCAGCTGGCCTGAGGAGCTGAGGCAGCAGCCAGATGCTGCAAATGCAGGGGAGCTGGTTGAAAGGGAAGGGCACCGACAGGATTTCCAGCAAGGTGAGCTCTGATTTGAGAGCAGTGGGCACCTATTCTGAGTTATCAGATAAGAAGTTGAGACTTGCCTGCCTTGTTAAGGGCTTCTGGGGATGGTCTGATGGAAAAATCTAATGTCTTAAAGGGAGGGAAAATGCAGAAGCAGAGCAGGCGTGCATAGTAAATAAGAGACTTCTGGAATGATGAGGCTGGTTGGGCTTGACTTTGTGGAGAGACTGTAAGCCCACAGGACTGCGTTTCCCCAGAGTGACAGAACCCTTGTAGGTAACCCACTGACCTTGGGGCAGCTCTGATACAAACCAGGTGTATAGCGTGCGATGAGTGTACCTGACGGCAGATAGATCCTGTTCCCCATGCTGGTGTCCAACCTATTCACCAAACATATCAGCTCCACAGATCATGAGTGGTGTCACACTATGAAGAGCAAAGAAGAAATCTACTAACCTCTCATGTCTGCTGTTGATCCCATCAGCGTGCCTTACTGAGAACAGCGCTACTTGCAGGGAAAGGCTTTTTCTGCCCCTCTCTTGTGACCCCTAGGAAGGGAGGTGAATCTGATCAATGAAATTAAGGAAGCCTCCAAACTCTGCCTTAAAAAATCTACCTATGTAGGGCCTGAAGGAAAGGGAAGCAGAAAAAAAGATGTTTGGAGGCAGGGAAGAAACTTTCCTCTGCTACAGTGGATGGCGGGAGGTCTCAGCATGAGGAGATGGGCTGCAGTGTTTCAAGCTAAACCACCACCCCCTGCTCTACCATGGCCTCATTGAGTGCTCCCAGTCCACCTGGTGGTACAGCTGGTCTGTAGTGTTTGGGAGGAGGGAGAGAGCCCAGCCCCGCTTGCCAGAGAGGAAAGCTCTGATATCTGCCCAGTGGGAAGGGATGGATTGCAATATCCCCACCCTGCAGCTGACAGCCAAGTGAGTAAAGCCTTCCCTGGCCCATCACAGATAACACAGCCTAGTTCTCTGCAGGAAATGGGCTTTAATTTTGGGAAGGGGATGGTCCTATCACTCACGACTAGCATGAAGGGGGACCTAACTCTTACAGGTAACCTGCCCCAAGCTGCCTTTGTGGCCAGCAGAGGACTGTGGGGCTGCAGCAGGGGAGATGTGGGGAGTGAGGGGAGGGGGATGAGTAGAGGGAGGTGTGAGGGAGGTGAGTGGAGATGAAACAGAGAAGTCTGGGGATGAAAAGCAGCCTTGGGAGAGCAGGAGCAGCAGCAGGCTGTTAGAGCCTGGCCCAGGCACCTTGGCTCCTGAGGGGAGGCCAGGCACAAGCTGAACCTGGCTCTTGTTCAAGAGCGGCTGTCAGGACTCAAATTAGCATGGAGGTTATTTTCAGTCAAATATTTCTACAGCCCACCCCTTTCCCCTCCCTTAAAGTGATTGAATTTCTTTTTTCCCATAGTGCTCTGGAAGAGAGGAGGAGAGGGACAAGGCAGGGGAGAAAGGCTCCCTGTGCTGGAGGGCTTCTTTGTATCCAGTTAGCCCAGGACGACGTAGCCCCAGCTTGCACAGGGGCCTGGGTTTTGCCTGGGCCAGGCAAAAGGGCTGAAAGGGCTCCAGGGCACCCATCTCCTTGGTGAGAGGCAGGTACCCTGCGGTGATGGCCAGGCTGCTGGCCAGGACCTGCTGCTCCAAAACTCTTTCTCAGGTTCCCAGATGCCCCCTTGGGTTGGTGGCTGCCCGAGCCTGGAGCCACGGGCCCCTCACTGCCTACATGCCTGAAGCCATCACCTTCTCCAGACTCAAGGACCACCAAGACTTGTACAAGGTTTCAGTGGATCAAGGGGATGCCTTCTGGGGAGCACTAGGAAGGAGCCGGCTCACCTGGATCACCCCCTTCCACTCTGTCCAGGACTGCGATCTGCACCAGGGCAGGGTCTCCTGGTTCCTGGGTGGGCAGCTGAACGTGGCAGGTAAGAAGGGAGGCAGACATGGGATCCCACCGACTGCCTGCAGGCAATTCTATGTGTGGGGCTTCAGTCCTGGGAGCATATCGGAAGAGCACACTGTTACAGGGTTGGAGAGAGGGGGATTCCAAAAGGTCTGCTTGGTCCTGCAGTGGCTGTAGTGTAAGGTTGTGGCTTATCCTGTGGTAGCACCTGGGTCTTTCTGGAGGGGCTGCAGGTGGATTGGGGTGCGCTGGCAGCCAGGCTGCTCTTCCTCAGCCTCTGTGGATCCCACATGAGGGCAGTGGCTCCATTCTGGCAACAGGCAACAGCACCAAACCCTGTGCATTCAGCAGGCAGGGTTGCACTAGGTCATCCCTGCCCAGTGAAGGCAGGATGTATCTGCAGAAAGCAAAATACAAGAGCAATGAGCCACAGTGGAAGTCCCCACCGCCATGGGAGACTCTTCTGTGGGTTGGGGCTACTGCCTTAGCGGGGCTACCAGGGGCTGGTAACACTTTGTCCTGCTCACAGTGGTGTTGGTCCCAGTGCTCAAAATAAGAGACAAACCTCTCAGAAAATCAGGTCTTGTAGTCCATTTTGAAAGGAGAGCAGGAGTTATTTGCCTTTAGGATTTGAGATCTCATTATTCCCCCTTTCATGTATGTTTCTTTCTCTCCTGGGAAACTACAAATGGTCAGGAGATAAAAGCATTTTGGTATGGAAACTGGGGCTGCTGCATCATCCCATGACTTCAGTAGCAGGTTTAAGGAAAACACAGAGCAAACAAGGCTTCTGAGGAAACTGTAGCTGCCAACAATGTGGGAAACTTTTCTTGGAAGAACAACAGCCAAAGCCTCAGCTTATGATGTCCCTGGAAAGCCAGCAGCTGTGTGCTCTGCCTTTGTCCTGGCTCTCTTCCATCTTGGACAAATGCACTCTGTAGCTTTCCTGCACAGAGTTTGTTTTGTCCTACATTTGTGATTTAGGAGCACTGCCACTCAAAAACTGCCCTAGTCCACCCAGAGGTAGCTGCAAGGCAGTGCTGGGTGGAGTGGTGGTTGAGTTAATGTTCGCTGGGCACTCTGAGGACATTGTGGATGTGACCTCCAAAGGAGCTTTAGGCAGTTTCTGCTCTGGATTGCATAAAGTTGCAGTTAAGGGGGAAGCTGATAGTGGGGATTGGTGGGTATTGAAGTGGTGATGAGTGTAATGAGGTTGGGATGGTGCTTGTGCTCTGCTGGCTAGTATCCACAAATGTTGCACAAGGTTGCTGAGAAGACCCACACACAGCCCTGACTGACCTGAAAACTGGACTGCTGGTGCTGACTTTATGAGAGGTGAGAGGTAAGATGTACTGCGTGTTTCTCTGTTGATGAGACTGGGTTTTCTATTCCAGTGAATTGCCTGGACCGTCATGTCCATGCAGCCCCAGACAAAGTGGCCTTAATCTGGGAGAAGGATGAACCAGGAGAGGAAGTACGGGTGACATACAGGTCAGTTACTACCTCTCAGCATACGAGTCCTATTGTAGCATGCATGAATATCTACAGGGCTGATCTGCTGATGTCTGTCATGTGAGGGAATGCAGCATCCCTTCACGCAGATAGATCAACAGAATGTTGGCTTGCTTGTGCTGATCTGAAACTTTAGCCTACCTCCTGATTAAATCCTCTGGGCCCTGAGGAGTCTCCAACCAGCTGGGGAGGCAGGTGTAAGATCCTTGGGGCAGCACTGCGGTGCTTGTAGGTAAAACACACAGGAAAGTCACACGTGTGCCTTCCCAGCAAGGTTCCTGGAGTCTAAACTTACAGGTAAATGGTCTGCAAGACAGGCCAGATTCACAGCTCTGTGTGTGTTGAAAAATCCCATTCTCATCTGCACATCAGCAGTGCTGCTGGATTTGGCTCTCTGGAGGACTGCCTGTCCAGCCCTGCTGGGTTGGTTTGGGGCCACCACCTTCCAGCTTAATTTGCCTGCTCTCTGAATTTCTGCTGCAGAATTCACTTAAATTCCCCTGCACAGTAAAAAAAGTCCCTCTGTCCTTTCTGGCTCCAGACCTCACACTACAAATATGACCATCCACCCCTGCCAATCTCCCTGCATGGAGAGCCCTTCCATAAAATGAGTCACTGACATCCAAGCTGTGGTTTTTGGGAGGGACGCTTCTCGGGAGAGGCATCTTTTTGTTCACTGCTTTCCTACAGCTGTTGTTCTTGCTAGTGGGCACAAGCTCTGGAGGACGTGACCTTCTCAGCTTTAGCAATGCACAGGACCCTGTTTACATGGGAGAAAATATCTAACTTCTCACATGTAGCCTCCAGCTATGCAGGGTAGTGTGTCAAGCCAGTTGTACAGGTTGGTAAGAAATGAGCAGGCTGTCATTGTGGAAGTCAGCTGCGCTGTTGTGTGCTTGCTGAGCCAGAGGAATTACCAGTGGCCATTGCTGTACAGAAACCATTTTTCTTTACTTCTTTTCTACAAATAATAACCCATGTTAGAATCTGTCTTCTGCTTTCCTTCCCACTGAATTTTACAGCCCTCCCATGGACGTCCAGAGTGAGGAGTGCAGGGATAAACTGTGTATAACTCTGAGGTCCCCTATCTTTAAGCACAGTGGTTAAACCTGCAAGAAAGTCTCTAACTGTGTAATTGCTTCTTTGGGCAGGGAACTGCTAGAGCTGACGTGTCGCCTGGGAAACACCTTGAAACGGCAAGGGGTGAAACGGGGTGACAGGGTTACAATCTACATGCCCCCGTGCCCACTGGCAGTGGCTAGCATGCTGGCCTGTGCCCGCATCGGGGCTGTGCATGCTGTGGTGTTCGCTGGGTTCAGTGCAGAGTCCCTTGCGGACAGGATCCGGGATGGTAAGAGCCAGTGGGTAAGAGTGACATGTGTTTCCCTTGGGGGACAGTGTTGAGCTTGCTGGTTCAGCAGCTGGGGGGCTCAGGATTGTGTGGACGGCAAAGGTTTTCTGAGTAAAATTCTCTGAGCTATCTGGGGGTATCCTGATATCATATATAGCCATGGAGCAGGGATTAGCAACCCAGGAAATGGCATGAGCTCACTAAATACCTTCCAGCCCATGGGATGAACTGGTTTTCTCTTTCATCCGTGGGACTGAAGGGCTGGGATACAGCATCTCCTGTGAGGAGATGCAACACGGGCAGGAATTAATGGAAAATCAAGATGCAAATCTGCTGGTTTTGCTAAATGAAGGACATGAGTAACAGGGGCTGAGAGACAGAGAGAGAGGTGCAGTGTCATGTGACTGATAGAGAAGGGCAGAGCTGCTCATGTGACTCTTCTGTCTTCTGCAGCCCAGTCAGAGATAGTGATTACAGTGAACCAGGGGCTGAGAGGTGGCAAGGTTATTGAACTAAAGAAGACAGTGGACCAGGCTGTGAAGCAGTGCCCCAGAGTGAAGCGGGTTCTAGTTTCCATGAGGACCACCAGCAAGGTTCCCATGACAGCCCTAGATGTGCCACTGGAGGAGGTGAGGCCTGCCTGGTGCTACTGCCACTTTCCCTGGGCAAAGTGCTGGGAGTAGGGACAGTGGGTGGAGAGAGGGTCTTGGCTGGCCATGACAGTTTCACTGGCATTGACACAATTTGGGGATATTGTCCCACAGCAGCAGCAGCAGCCAGAGCTGCACATGAGTTCAGGACAGTCTCAGGAGTCATCAGGATGGACTACTGGTGTCTCTTCCCACGCTACCAGCTCTGTGCTCTCAGGCAGTGCAAGTCAGGGCTCATAGCAGGGTGGACTGAGGGCTAGAAACACACCAGACATGGGCTGCTACTTTGTGAACCCAGCCTTGGACTGCCACTGCACTGTCACACATCGCTCTGCTGGCAGATCTGGCATTCTCTGTGAGTGCTACTAGCAATTTGTGTCCAAGGAAGCAGGCAGTGAGGTTGCTCGTGTGCCCATTATCTATGGCTGCCAGCATGGAGCACTGTTTCTGAACAGGTGAGCCCCTGCCGTGCATTTCTGCTGGCTCCCTGGAGCTACACAGTAGTCTCTCCGTCTCTGCTCATCGCATCTGCAAGCAATTAGTGCTGGAAAGGCTTCCCGGAAGACTTCTGTGCTGGTCAGAGCAGCAGCAGCGTAAAAATAGCTGCCTCTTACTCAGCAGGTCTGCTTCGACTGAGGAGAGTGTTTGCCAGCTCCTCAAGGCAAAAGGGAGTTCAGGCTACAGAGCAAGGGGAGTGGAGGTGCAGAGACAAGGAATGATGTTTAGGGGGAGCTGGGTGCTCAGAGGGGAAGGAGGCTTGGGCGAGAGGTGCACAAGAAGGTGTGGGGAGCAACAGGGGAGGTACACAGGCAACACAGGTGCACAAGCAACACAGGGGAGGCTGTGAGACCCTGAAAGAACTGCTGTGCTCTTTCCTGCAGGAGATGATGAAAGAGGATGCATGCTGTGAACCTGCTGTCATGGACAGTGAAGACATGTTGTTTCTTCTCTACACATCAGGCAGTACTGGCAAACCCAAGGGCTTGGTTCATTCCCAAGCTGGTTACTTGCTGTTTGCAGCTCTCACACACAAGGTAATGGATCCCAGCGACACAGTGCGTATGAGCCAGCAGCTCATAAGCAGTGCAGGGAATAGACCTGCTCCTTGTTGCATTATGAGCCCATCTTTAGCCAGTGCCAAGTCTCTGGGAAGCCCTCCTAGGGCATCGGCCCAGTAGAGCACATCTGCCTGCAGGTGGTGCTCCATGGCAGGGTCTCCCAAACACATATTCCTCTGAGCTACCTTCTTGGCTTTCTTCTTTCTTTCACTGCCCTATACTAGATGGAACCACTAGGTAGGATACTCAGTCCTGCAACGGTAATTTTATATTACTGTTGTACCTAGTTGTAGTTGGCTTCCCGTCAAACCCCACAGACTACAGAAGAAAAGCTCTCAGAAGAGAGAGAAGGAAAAAAAAAACTGAATAGCAAAAGCTATATAAAATATATATTTTACATATATTACAGATATACAATTAAGGTGCTATGTACATATGAACACAGAAACCCCAAATTGCTCCCAAAAGGGAAAGAGGGGAAGGGAAAAGGGAAAAAAGGACAAAAATGGACAAAAGTGGACGAAAACAAAACAGGTATGCACAATCGAAAAACCCAGTACTGACAAAATAAAGAACTAACAGAATCTCACCACTTCCCTTGAGAAAAGCAGGACAGCCGGACGCAGCCCAGCACTCTCCCCTCACGCATGGTACACAACAACAGTCACTGCAGGCCTCAGCTCCAGATAAGCAAGACCGAGACAAGGATCTACCGTTCCCAAACCTCACTGGAAGAAGAGAGAGTGAGGTCTCTCTGACCACCTTTATTTATACCTCAGTTTATGTAAAGGAATAGCATGGAATACTTCCTTGGTCACTTCCCTAGCTCCTTCCTGGTTACAAGCTGGTCTCCAGGAAGGCCTAGACTGAAACTATCACAACTGTGTGAGGGGGAAGAATCCATTTGCTCCTTAAAAACTGTGGCTTGCTTTTCCTAAGTGTAAGTACCCCAACTCATGTGGAAGATTGAAGGCAGTGCTTCTGGAAGGGGCACATTTAACAACATCTGTAAAAGCTGGTGAGTGCCCTCATAAAAAAGGACCTATACCTGAAGAGTGTGGGTCATCTTTGGTAGGAGGAAAGCCTTTAACCATGACACGTGCCAAAACCAAACTCTAACCAAGCTGGATAAAAGGGCAATGAGCACAGAGATGCGTGTGGACACAGGAATGGTTGCAAGGGGCATTCCTATGAAATTATATGGGGTTCTGTGTACGAGGGAGTTCCTAACTGAACAGTCCCTTAATTTTGGGTCTGGCTCTCTCTGTGCATGACTGCCTTTCCAGCAGTGCCTCAGACCATGCACGCTGTGACTAAGCAAGCTCAGGGCTGGCTGGGTCTTCTCTGTTAGTTGTGAATGCTGAAGACCATACTTCCCGGGGTGTGTGGAAGCCCTTGATTTCCCTGTGAGCTAAGCTTTGCCCAGCACAATAAGTGACCCACTTGAGACCATCAGAGTAGGTTTGTGAGAGCCAGGGCTGCCAAACCAGAATGGCAATGCAAAGGGTGAGCAGCACGTGGCCATGTTAGCTCTCAGGAGCACTGGAAATCTGGAAACAGATCCCTCAGTTTGATGGGGCAGACTGCTGCTACCATAACTCACTGCTCTGCTAAAAAAAGACAGGTGAAGCAGGGGAAGCTTCCATTATGAGCATTATGGAACACTTGGGGCCCTAGAGTCCCCAGCTGGCAGCCTGCAGCAGGGAGCTGCAGGAAGAGACAGGAAAGTCTGAAACCGCACAAGTCAGAGCAGAAAGCAAGAAGTGGTGGGCTACTGGGAGACCAGCCCCTAGGAAGTTTTCCTGGCACTAAGAAAATGAAATGAAGGAGAGTGCTTAAGGAAACTGGGTGTGTCGCTGCCAATCTGACAGCACTCAGTTCTGCCCTGCACAGGGTAGGCATCCTTCCTTCATATTCCGGCCTTGCAGCCAAGGGTCTCCCAAGGAATAAATGGGGCAGTGGGAAGAAGAGCTTGTTCTGATTTCCACCTGCCTGCAGGCACAGGACAGCACTCATCCAGCTGAGGTGGAGAGGTTCCAATTTTTGTAGGCAAGTTGGGGTTGCTCTGGGCCAAAGTATCACATGGTCCCTCTGCTTGCTGCCTCGATGCTCCTATGCTGGGCTCCTTGATGAGCTCAGTGTTTCCTGAGTGTTTACTGTCCAGGAGCCCAGAAGTGCCCAGGAGAGGTTCATGGAGTTCTCTACCACTTTACCCTTGCCTACAACTCCTCTCCTTCCATGCAGGCATGTAAGTACAGAGGGACATTCCTTAGCCAGAACGTTCTGTTTTGATGCAACAGGATATTTGGATCAGCCTTGTCTAGACATCAGCAAAAGGAAGGAAAGGCTGTAGCTCTCTCCTTTGGAAAAGTGAAAATTTGGCTGTTCTTTTTTTTTTATTAAGTGTCTATATCCTTCAACTTCATAAAGCATTTTATTTTTTTTCTGATGTTTTCAAAAACTCTGCAGGAAGAAAGAGTCCCTGCAGGGGTGGTAGGAAGATAGAAGGATGCAGTAATGTTAGGGCTGAGAGAGAGTACACTGCTCCCTGTTGTCCCCCTTGCGAGGAAGGCAGGCCCTGGCACTACCCCTCACTGCCTCTCTTCTCTTGTTTAGTACGTGTTCGACTACCAGGACAGGGACATCTTTGGCTGTGTGGCAGACATTGGCTGGATCACGGGGCATTCCTATGTGGTCTACGGCCCTCTCTGCAATGGTGGCACCACAGTCCTTTTTGAGAGCACTCCTGTCCATCCTAACCCTGGTGAGTGAGGTATCTCAGGGGAGCTGGGATATTCCACAGCACCCTGCAACACCTGCAGGCAGCCTGATGCCAGGACACATGCAGCAATGGCTCTGCTGCCTCAGGAGCAGACTGCAGGCTATGCCCAGTAGAGAGCTACCAGGGGAAGAGTCTTTTCTTCTGCTTAGGAAGCCACTGCTGCTTCTCCAGGGGCGGAGCTGTTATTCCCTGCTCCTCCCTGCAGCAGGGAGAGTAGCAGAGCTATGTGATGTGGAGGAAAAGGGCCTGCTGCTGCTGCTCCTGAATAGCTTCAGTCCTTCCTATCATGGGATTAACTTGGCTGAGGGTCCTGGCACTGCTAGAGAGCCTTTGTTCTCACCTCTTCTATCTTTATCTTGGTGTTGGGCTGGGAGGACATGCGTGGGTGCTCACTGGCCCTGTTTCCATTCCAGGCCGCTACTGGGAAACAGTAGAGAGGTTAAGAATTAACCAGTTCTATGGGGCGCCCACTGCCATCCGCCTGCTCCTGCGATACGGTGATGAATGGGTGAAGAAGTATGACCGCTCTTCTCTCAAAGTGCTTGGCTCAGGTAAGTGCAGCAGCGTGGGCTGGAGCAGCACATCCTTGCGCATCAGATTCTGCCTCTTCCCACAAATGCCAAGAACAGCAGCAACATGAGACCCCAAAGTCAGGACACTACACTATTTGGGGATGGCTCCACAAGCAGGTCATGGGAAGCTGTGTCCTGAACCTGATTTTTCTGCTCTGCTCCCTTGTCTTTCCCCTTGCAGTGGGGGAACCCATCAACAAGGAGGCCTGGGAATGGTACTTCCGTGTGGTTGGCGAGACACGATGCCCAGTAGTGGACACATGGTGGCAAACTGGTGAGATGCATATGACTCCTTGTTCCAGCTTCTGCTCTCCCAGGCTTTAGGAGCGACCTGCTGCTTTGGTGGCCAAGTGATAATGGTTGTTACTGACACTCTTGTATGAGCACTTGTATGAGCGAGGCTGTAAGGGCCCAGGAGCACCTAAACATGAAAGAGAGAAATGGCCTTTAAAGGTAACCTAGACAAACACGGGGGATTTGATGGCACATTTCAGCAGATTCCTGCTGAACTAAATGAGCACATCATCCATCTGCAAAGAGCCTTCCCCAGCTCTCTGGCAAACCCAGCCACAGCCTGTGCCATGTGCAGTGGGGCCAGGATAAAGACTGCTAGCCAAGCAGTGCTACTTGGCTTTCTTCTTGTTCCCAACTTTGATGAGCATTACGGTTTCTTTTTCTTCAGAAACAGGAGGCATCTGTATCTCACCCCGTCCTTCTAATCCCGGAGCAGAAATCCTTCCAGGCATGGCTATGAGACCCTTTTTTGGGATAAGCCCCACCCTCTTAGATGACAAGGTATATTTATAACCTGCAGTCCAGGCACTGGCTCAGCCCACTTTCCACCAGACACTTGCAGAATATATTGCTGATGGGAGTGGAGAGCTGCGAACCTGTCTTTCCTGCTCACCTCTGCTGGACAGCAACCTTCTTACTGGAAAGGGACAAACAGTGAAGCTGTCCTTCCAACTAGTGCAGAGGTTGAACTGTTTTCTAGTTTGCACTGTCCTGACAAGACAGGCTGTGCTTGGGCTCCCTGGCACATCTTTCCAAGGTGAGGTAGCTAGGCAGGAACATCCAATGTCCCTGGAGGGGCCCTGCATCCCACCATGGTAGGCAGATTGGGGCTGGGAGAGACTAAGCCTGTCCTGTTGGACTGGGGAGCAAAGGACCCTCCTCACTGCCTTCCCTGACATTTCCATCACAGGGTTGTTAAAACAGGCAATAACTAAACATTCCAAGTACCCTCAGCCATGGTTACTAAAAAGTAACTATTTTACAGGGAAATGTCCTTCTAGAAAACAACATCTCTGGAGCCCTTTGCATCTCACAAGCCTGGCCAGGTATGGCACGAACCATTTACAATGACCACAAGAGATTTCTGGAAACCTATCTGACTCCTTATCCAGGTAAGGAAAACAGGTGGCAGGGCACTGAAGACATGTTCGGTTGGGTATGATTGTGTCTGCCTGCTGGCTTTCTGAATGGAGGCAGGACTCAGGAGAGCTGGTAGGGCTGCTTTGTTCTTCCATAGACCCTCCTCAGTGCTGAGGCCCTTCATTTCCCCAGGCTTGTTACCACAGCGTTGCCCTGGGAATGGGTCTCTCTCACAAACCTTCCCCATTGGATCACACATTGTCTTAAGGAAGTGGATTTGTCTTTCTGCCCTCAATCCCCTTGAGCACAGACAGACCTCTTGGTGCATCTCTTGCAAATCCTGTCATCTTCTATCACTCACCCCAAGGCACTGAGCAAGCCTCAGAGTGTGTGTGTTTTGATGTGAAGCTAAGAGGTGAAGCAGCAAGACCACAGGCACCTGCACTGGAGCAAAGTGTTCCCAGCATGAGGTGATGAGGTAGGCTGGGCATTAGCCAGCACACTGCAGAATGAGGGAAGGAGCCTGATGATAGATCAGGCACCAAAAGAGGCAGAAGACTAACAAGGAAGGTAGGCACCTTCACCCTGAGCAGTTGAGGAAGGCACAGAGTACATGAGCCCTGGTGCCAACAGAGAGGAAAACGAGGCAAGGTGAAAATCCAGCTGGTGAGCAGCTCACATGCTCACTGCAACAAGTGACCATGGCATGGTTCCTGCAGGTTTTTTCTTCACTGGGGACGGTGCGTATCGTACCAGGAAGGGCTACTACCAGCTAACAGGACGGCTGGATGACATAATTAACATCAGTGGACACCGCCTGGGCACTGCAGAGGTGGAGGACATTGTGGTAAGAGGTATGGGTGGGAGGTAAAGCCATCCAAGGAAACAGCAAAGGCACACTGGTAGTGCTCAGGGAGGTCTCTCTTGAATCCCCAGATGGAAATACGCTGCTGCTATAGCAGCAGGGAACAGTGTTGGACCCACAGCCTGCCTGTGGGAACAGCTTCCCACCCTTTCCTCTCTCATTCTGGCTCTCTACAGCAAGGGAGAGACAAAGCCTGCTAAGGCTGATGCTCTAAGTGGGTGAATCCCAAAGCAGCAGTCAGACATGTTAAGGAGGAGCATCTTTGGGCCAGTGAAGATTCTGGGACCTGGTGGAGCAACCTATAGGCACAGAACAGGGTCTACAAGGTGCAAGCCTAAAGCAACAAGGGGCAGGGTGAAAAGACTTGTGTTTGCAGACCTACTGAGGCAAGAAGGAAAAAGAGCAGAGGCCCTTCCTTATCTCTCTGCATTACGGTGGGCTGCAGCAGCCAAGTCAGCTCAGGGCAGCTCCCAGGTGGCAGCCAGCCTGCTGAAAGCACCAAGCCAAACCCCAGCCCTGTTCTCTTCCAGAATCATCATGTGGCAGTGGCAGAGTCTGCCGTCATCGGCTACCCACATGAGATCAAGGGAGAAGGTAAGATGCTTGATTTCCTGCCCCTGAAACATCTCTCCTGGGGCTAAGGGACTGCAGTCGGAAGTGACACTGTGGCTGTGTCCACACCACACAGCACGTTAGCAGGGATCTCAGCACAGCCATCACAACTGCACAAGACCAGCTAGGCTTTGCATAAGGTGACAGCAGCAGCATCATGGTCAAAAACACTCACAGCTTTGGCTACAGAGCATCCCCAGAGGCTACCAGCAGAGAAGTTCTCTCCTGGCACTAAGTCCAGGCAGGCCCTCAGGAGCATGGTGTACACAGTGCTCAGTAACCTCAGGTCTTTCTGCCAGGAGCCTACGTGTTTGTTGTGCTGAAGAAGGACAGTGGCTACACACAGGAGACTCTTGCTGCTGAGCTACAGGAGCTCATCTCCAAGAAGATCGCTAAGTACGCAGCTCCAGATTACGTTCAGGTAACACATGCAGGCTGCTCCAGCACCCTGGCAGCTTGGCCAACCCCTTTACCTCAGCCTTAGTTCTGCTCCTCCCCATCACAGGTCACACACCGGCTGCCCAAGACACGCTCGGGTAAGATTATGCGTCGGGTGCTACGGAAAATCGTGGAGGACAAGGCCAGTGAGCTTGGGGACCTGACCACACTGGATGACCATGAAGCCGTGCAGCAGATCATAGAGGGACACAAGCACCTTGTGGAGGGGCAGAAGAGCTACTAGCTTGGCTCTGCCAGCAGCCACCTCCTCTACCTTCACTGCAAAACTAGGGAAACATCCAGAATTTCTACTAAGCAAGTGGTGGCCAGTAAGTGCTCAGAGACCACACCTCCACTGCATTCTCAGAGTGACCTCTTCACAACACAGAGACCCTCAAAACCTGCCTCCACACACATATATGAGGCAAGTGAGAGAACATGACTCATCACAGGCAGAACGGTAAGGGGAGACAAGCTATGTTTCCTACCCTAAAGGGAGAGGGCCAAAATCCCTCCTTAGGGTTCCTTGTGCCTTGCAGTAGCTGTGGAGATAGCAGCTGGGCAGGATTGCTAGTGCTGGACAGGTATATTACTCCTGCCCCTGCTGTGCTCTTCAGCCAGTCTAGTCCAGGACCATACAAGCATCTCCTCCAAAGCAAACCCCAGAAAGAAAACATCCAGCAGTCCAGTTAACAAATATTGACTCTTCTCCATAAAAATAGTTTGAAAACAGGCTCCATATTTTAATACAAAAATGTTCCTTTTACATGTAGCTATGTGTCATAAGGAGAGCAGAGACACGCCCCTTCTCTGTGCTAGCATTCTCCTCCCCTTACAATGCTCCTCCTGGGGAACACAACCCTCAATAGAGCCACAAAGTACAGAAATCTGTTCTGCAGAGCTGTGTATCAAAGACAGAGCTCCCAGAAAGGCACAGAGGGCAGAAAAGGAGGCTGCATCCTAGCCTCGCACCACTGCATCCTGGACAAAGCAGAGGTTCCTCTGGCCCTTGTTTCTACAAGGCCCATGAGGCAGCATCTTCTCTTTGGGCAGCCTAGCAGCTCACCCCTTTCCCGCATGAGAGCCAGGGAGGCAGAAGGAGGCTGGAAGAAGGATGGCATAGCTGTCTGCTCCTGACAGAACCCCACACTATGAGTTCTGACATGCTCTGTGTCCATCAGCAAAATCCAAAATTGGTCTTCCACTGTTTGAATCATATGTTGACAGCTGCTGGCTTGGCAGCTCCATGTCTGCTCTTGAGAGCTCTCCCAGATGTGCAGGTTCTGCGTCTGGCCAGACAAGGGCATGTTTTTCAGTGTCCTTCCCCAGCAGGGAGCCGCTTCATCTTCTCGCATCGAGTGAGCTCCCATCTTCCCTCCCCATGAAGTTTCAAAATCCAGCTGTGGAACTGTAATTCAATAACACAATGTTGAAGGATGTCTCTACAAGGGCATGTCCTCCCACAGTGACGTACTCCAGCCTTAGTCACTCCCCTCTGCTCGCCGGAGACCCTCTCTATCTCCTCTATCTTGCCACCACCAGGGAGGCATGGAATGCTGTCTCCCTGCCTCACCTTTTCCAGGCTGGGTCTGTGTCCCACGCTGATCAGCGTCATGCCCAGCTGAAGGCACAGACGATACAGTTCATGCTCCACCTCTTCTGTCAAGGCACTAGTGGCTTCATCTAGCACTGAAAGAAATGTCGTAAACCCCACAAATCCTCTCCCAGCCAGACATTTCCCCTAGGCAAAAGAGCAGCAACTGCCGAGAACATTTCACTTATTAACTGGAGTTCACCAAGAGCATGTAAAGAAGGCAAGGAGGAAAAGCCTAAGGACTCTGCTATTCCTCTAGCACAGCTGGTGTCAGTCAATTTGGAAAGCTGTCCTTCCCCTCAAGTCCTTGAATCCATCCAAACTGCACTGTTCTCCTCATTCCTCTCCCTCAACAGCTGCCAGCCACTGCCTCATCCCCCAGTGAGAAAGCCGAGACATGACCTTCTCAAGACAAGCCACGTGCCACAGCACTAAGATGAGCAGCAGCCAGTGCACCCTTCCAGCACACCACATATGGAGCTGCTAGGATGGCCTGCAGCACCTTCCTGACTGTTAAGGGTAAATACTACAGATCTGGAGCAGAAAAATTCAATTTGTTTTACGAAATCTCTACAGTTTTTAGTTTGCAATCCACAGGTTCCTTTTGCCCAGATAGCACCAAGCTGTGATGGAGGCTTCAGGGGAAAGAGAGGTACTTACCTGTGGCTGCCTGCTACTGACACTGGCTCTGTTCACCCACATCCACCCTGGCCCTCATGGCAAGTCCTCCAACAGCCCACCCAGCAGAGACTAAGGAATTGGCCCCATCAGCTAATCACAGATGCTTCTGTGATCTCTCAGGACTGTTTCTCCACTGGTCCTTGTCTTCTTTTGCCATGTCATGGCTAAATTTCCCATATTGCTTCCACAACCCTACAGATGTTTGTGAGCTTCAGATATGGCAGCCGCCACCACACTCCCCAGCATAAACGCTTCTTTACATAGCAACTGGTGAGCATGCCATTGGACAGGTGCCATTGGACCTGGACGAAGAACATTAATCACTAATTCCCTAAAAAGAGTACGTCTTATGTACAGTTCTTGATTTACCATCCTCCACACAAATAATGAAATGTTTTCACAACTGAATCCTCTGTGTGCTATGCTGCTAAAATAATGGCCAAGGCGAAGCATGCTCCTAGCAAACAAGGGATTTCATGAGCTGTCTCTGTACCAGCTTCTCTTTACACCAGAGGCCCTGTCTTCCCCCCCTCCCCTTTTCTTTAGTAGTCAGTCACTCACCCGCATATTTTGGCTGGAGGTAGAAGAGCCGTGCAAATGAGAGTCTCTGCATCTCCCCTGGAGACAGGATGTCATACCTGCAGCAGGGTCAAGATTCAATACCTCCCACAAGAAACAGAACTTGTTTGCTGAAAATTATATGGCTTCTGATATCAGAGACACCAACAAGCAACTGTCCCTATGTCCCTTGTGCCCCTCGCCATGCTGCTTAGAAGTGTTCCCCACTCAAAGAAATCAGCCAAATTCATGCAGATAGTGAGCTCCCTTACCAATTCCAGTCCACCTGCTCATCCAGTCCTCCAGCCCTTGCCAGCAAATCAGTCTGCAGAGAGCACAGCAGACTTGTGAACACAGTCGCCAACCCTGTCAGCCCATGGTTCTGAGCATAACCACCCCTTTCCTGCTAGTCTCGCTTTCCCCACTTGAGCTGAAGTTGCTCCTTATCCCTCCTTCTCTTCCTGTCCCATAGACAGTCCTGCCCCAGCTACAATGTCCCCACATTAAGTCCAGCACACAGTCATGCTGTGCTGCCACAAAAAAATCATCCCTTCTTCCTTCACTGGCAGCACCAGGAAAGAAGGCAGCAGCACTACCAGTGACTCACCAGCCCAGCCAGCTCCAGGAATCGCACAATTCTTTCATCATCTGCAGACCCTGGGGAGAAAGCTGCACAGCATAAGCAAGGGCAATGTGTGCTGAAGCCACAGCTGCCCAGAGGAGTTGGTGGGGCAGAAGGGAAGGATTTCCTGACATTCAGTGTAGCTGACCTGATCCCTTAATTATACCAGGTCCTGAGCTTTGGCACAGATAGCCTCGAAGACTGACCTTTCCTTAAAAATGTTAACCATGCCTGTGAGCAGTATGCCAGTAGGTAGCTGGGCTCCACAGATACACCTGACATTTGGGTCAGTCCATGGCCACAGATGGACACAGCCAGAACACAAGGATCCAGGCTTCAATTGCCAAGGTCCTGCCTACCAGTTTTGCTCTTACAGCTGAGACTGCACACTGCGGGTGGTGGAGTCAGGGAAACAGGGCTCAGGTAGTAGCCGGCAAAAGGACGCTATGTGGGATGAGAAAAACCTCAGGGTGAATCAGCTGTGGAGCAGAATATACATTTGAGCTGGTACAGTCAGCATCTATGGAACCTGAGTAGAAGGGCTGTGCATCTGCCATGGACCTCTATGAAGCTGCTGAACAGCCTCAACAGTAGCTGATGGCTGTAGCTACTCTCAGCAAGATTGTGACTCCCAAGTGTTTGAAAGCAGCAGATAACACTGCTGGACATCTCCAAGCTACGGCAGACCTCATGTGGTCTGACTTGGGAAGAGGGCAGGGAAGAAAAAAGGATCTATGTATTCTAACCTCAAGAGAATGCAAAGCCCTGGGATATCATTTGAAAAAGAGAAACAGTGAAAGATGGAGTTGAATGGAAAATGAGATGAAGACAAACATGGCTTGCCCAAAGTCAGACTGTGCCAGACAGATCAGATGTATCCCAACAGCAACATGTATCACGTCTAGCACAGCAGGTAGAGCATGGCCAGCTTGTTCTCATTGTACAGAGAGTAAATTCTTATCAAGTGAATATGTTCCCTCCCAGAAGGGAGGGTACACAGAGCTGACCTTAACATACACTAAGGTAAATCTTGTAGGGAAAAGCAGAGCAACAAAAGCAAAAGAGATGAGTGTTCTTGATGGGCCATGGCAGGGGAGAAGCTACACTGAGTACAGGACAGTGAGCCGACACCACAGGGTTGGTTAATTGCTCTAATGAATTTCCACATACCTGAAACTGGATAGATCTCCTTCAGGGGATAGATCACCTGTTTAACAGAGCAAAAGAAACCATGTTGAGGGAGCTGGACACAGTCCTTCAGGTATGCAAAGGGGGTGGCATGAACTCAGGCACAAGGGAAAGAGCAGCCACAGGCATCCTCCCTCTTGCAGGCCTATCTGCGCCATATAGGTTCACAGGGCATGACCACAGCTGGGAGCAGAGCTGAGGCCAGAGTAGAGACAGCCCCTGGGCTCACCTGCTCACGCAGGCTTCCGTCAGTGAAGAAGGGCCGCTGTGGTAGGAATACCACTCCCCGGGGGCCAAAGCAGGTCAGCATCTTGATGCTCCCTGCACAGAGACACACTCAGTCAAGCCTGCAATACCAGCAACTCCCCACTGCCCCCTGTGTAGTCCTGTCCCATGAAGTAGCCAACAAATCCCCACAAAAGTGTGTTTGCAACACAGGACAAAGCAATGAGAGCCACAGAATGTGATAGCCACAGAATGGCTCCAATCAGTGGATCAGTGACACATTCACCATCACAAGGTGGCACTGGCCTCACAAGACCACCTTCCAAACTCAGAGTAGCCTTGGTTGAGAAAGAGAAGGCTGCAGCATGTAGCAGTCCTTACCCCGCGTGCTCTCCCAGAGTCCTCCAAGGACCCTCAGGAGAGATGTCTTCCCTGTACCAGTGTTTCCCACAATCATCACACTGTTTCCTTGTGAGATCCTGAGGCTCAAGTCCTTGATGAGCAGCTTGCCAGAGGATGGCACCGAAAGCGTCACTTGGTCCAGAAGGAAAGCTGTGTCCCTTGGCGCTGGGTCCTCCCCAAAATGGCTGCTGGGCCACCACCAAGACAAAGGAGGAGAGATCTGGGGGTAAGTGACCACACTGAGATTGTCAAAAATCAGGCACCTTAGACCTCCTGTGTCTCTGTGACAGCAGCCTTGCCCCACGCACCCCAGGAACAACAAATCACAGTGAGCACTGCCTGCTCCAACCAACTGTGTGCAACAGATTCTGACAGCAGGGGCCATCTCTATCCCACAGCAGCCTCACACTCTGGCATGTAAGCTGCAAGCCAGCCAGTTGCTGAGAGGAGACTCACCCGTCCAAATCCCAGCTCGTTTTGGCTTCTGAGTAGTTACCATTTTTTTTTCTGCCAAGGCTCAGCAAGGTCTCCTGCAGTTCACCAATCCTAGACAAACAAGAGGTTGCATGAATGCTATGGACAACTCCAGCAGCCTCCTCACAATATCCAAACGTGCCCATGTTTGCACACAAGCAATTTTTTCTTATTTTTTTAGCACAGAGTCTTGGGCAGAGTCTTGTCCTGCACTTCCCTTTCTCCCAGAGATGTGCTGACAGAGAAGCTCACCTGTGTGTGTAGCCAGCTACATCGGTCACAGTGCTGGAGAGATCTATGAGCTGGCTGAAGCAGCCAATGAGGTAGATGGAAACAAAAGCATTCTGGGGAGAAATCACATGCCAGAGTAAGGGTCAGTGCTGAGCTGGGGTGCTGTCCCTTACTTCAAGACTGCAAGGAGGCAGCCAAGGAGTCCACATATTTGGCCATGTCAGCTGACTTTGCAAGATCAATGAGAGGTTGTGAAGTCACCCATGGTGGTGGGAGTGAAGCAGAAGATGACCACATTTGAAAGGAACGGGGCTTCCCTGCTCAGTGCAGCAGTTCTTGCCAGGTGGACACATGTCCTGCCAACCAGGGATGGTATTTGCAGAGTGCCTGCTGGCCAGCCCAGGGTCCAGCACACTTGCCCTAAGTCACGCAGATCCATGCCACCAGCACCGTATACGGCTCAGAGGAGGCTGTTTCAGCCAGCAGTGTTCACTTAGCTATTTTTAATTCTGCATTCTCTGTCAGAAGCCAGTTTTGAGTATCTGGTAACGAGTCAGGTCAGGAAGGCAAATGCAAGCCAGCTCGGCCTCGCTGGTGGCTGTGGTCACCACGGGCAGACCTGCAGCACTGAGCAAACCCCAATCCCCCCACACTGCTGAAAGCCAGAGACTTTCTGATCTCGCTATTTTTTAGACACTCAGGTCTGAGCTAGTAAACACTTATGTAGATGTGACCTTGACAGCTCTCACTCCCAGGTTAATCATATACCAGCTGGCTACAAGCTCCCATTTCCATGACACCATGGCTAGGGACAGTCTAACCTGAAGGTCAAGTGCTGCATAACTATCCAGCCCCAGGGCCACCAGCCCCATATGAAACCTCCATCCTCAGTGCCTGCTCACCATCCACAATGAAGTCTGGGATATAACCCTTAACTCACCTTGCTGACAAGGGCACTGAGCTCTGTTGGACTCAGGTCACTGTAGACCCCAGAAAAAATGGGAATGGCAATGACCACGTAGCTCAGGATGCTACCCAGATAGTCAAAGGTGTTGATCCCAACTGGGCAGAAACACATTGAGAGAAGATAAAAAGTTAGAGTAGGAACCTCTGTCCCAGCCAGGCTCAAATGTGGCCCATGAGCCCAGCCAGAGGAATACGCATGTTCTTGTCTCAGCCCTTTGTGATGCACCAGAGCAGAAGAACTCATTTCACAGGACAGCACAAGCACTAGGGTGAAAATTCATTTGCCAAGCAAAGAGCACTTTGGGGCAGACTCCTGAACAGAGAAACCTCCAGACATACAGCTCAGGAACCACCATGGGGCAAAAGTCACTTTGCCTGCTTGTTTCTATGCTTCAGGGGTCTGGCTGACTCACAGTAAACAGGAGGGATTGCAAAAAGGAAGCTCTGGGTTGAGATTGTTTTCCATGAAGTGTATCTCGGAGCACACAACAGGCAGAAAGACTTAAGACCCCAAATTCCCACAGACACCTCTGTTCAGGGCTCTCCCTCCCACACATTGCTCAGAAGCTCACTACGCTTCTGAGATGAGGAAGAGCTGTCTTTATAGTGGTCATTTAAAGCCAAAACCTGGACTCATTGACAATGGGAGAAGGGAGATTTTCAGAGGACAACTATGCTTAAGGGACAGGCTCTATAGGAAAGAAGTTTCCACAGCTTCCAACCACATACACCATCTTCTCCTTCCCCAAAGCTTAAGCCTTTCCCTCTTTTCCTGGCCTTTGAACACCTGCCCCCCAGAAAGCCAGATTCCTGGGTTCTCCACAGCTCTGCCTCTTTATGAGGTTTTTACACAATAGGATTCCCATTTAGCACTCCAGGAGACACCCTCTGTTCACCCTCAGGGCTTTCATGCACCAGCAAGAGGTGGGAGAGGAAAACGCAGCACCCACCCAAATGCTCTACCAGTAGAGTTCCCATGCCTGTGGGCCACCACAATGGAGCTACCACACACCCCACTTCACCCCTCAAACTCCCCACTCACTGTATAGCCACAGCTCCTTGCCTATCAGCTCTCTCTGGGTCTGCAGCAGGCTCTGCAGCCTCCGGTCCGTGCGCATGTGCTCCACTCGCCCAGCCCTGTAAAATAAGATTGCAACAGACATCCCAGGACCCATGGGCTTTAAAACGGAGGCTTGGAACAAGTCTGGCACCTTCACTTCCAAGTAACAAGCTCTTCTTCATTGAGCAGGAACTGAACAGCTAAGAGCACCTTCCTGAAGAGCATCATAAAGAAACTGGCTGAAACAAGCAGTCTTGCAAATCTCTCCCAGAGCCTGTGGATGCTGCTATTGCAAACAGGAGGAGGGTCACTGTCTGCAAGGCCCGAGTCCGGAGCAATGCACACCCCAGGTCAAACACATTTCCCAAGCAGAGCCTGGGTGGAAGACTGGGATGGAACCGCTACACAGCTAGAGCCAGAAAGGAGAGGGCAGAGGGGAGTCCAGGAGGTGATAATAAACCCACACAGCCTACATGGCCAGCAGCCCCGGGTCACCTCTTCCTATTTCCCACTTCACAGGAGTGGGTCAAAGACAAGTCCTGAGCAGTGCAGACCCCAGTGGGGGTGACCCCAGCCCCATAACTCCCCCTTTCCAGGGCTATCCCCATCGGGTCACCCACCAGCCAATTTTGCAGTGATGCTCCCATGGCCAGGCTGAGCCAGTAGCAAGGAGACATCTCAGCTCTAAACCACCACCTTCAGCAAGTGCAGCAGCTCCTTCTGCTGTTTTACAAGGCCTAGGCTGCCCTCAGGTGGCAAAATGCAGAGAGCTCCACATCTCACTCCAGAGATATAACCACAGCAGCTATTGCCCCTGACATCTAACACAGGCTTGTGCTCAGTACATACCCACACTCCCATCACAGTCCATGCAACAGAAGGGCCTGACTAGATAAGGCCAGAAGCTGCACAAAACCATCTAAATTAAGATTTTTTAAGTCTCATTTCTGAAGACTCTCAGGTCTTAGAAAAATACATTTTCTTTCTCAAAAATGCATCTTGCTAGAATTCAGTTTGGCTTTATTGTCCTACAACCCAGTTCAGGTAACTACTGAACTACTGACAGCAATCTTTGTTGTCCATGTACTCAGAGAGGACAAAACCTTGGACACAAGGAGTTAAAGGCAAGCAAGGCACCAAGGACCAGAGCTATTATTTCTGTTGCAGAGGAAGAGAGATTCCTGTATTGGTTTCCTCTTTTCCTTCCACTCACTTCACTTTTAAAGCAAGTTTGCCAAAGGCTTAGAAACAAAAAAAGTAAAAAAGTGACAGTGCTCAGCTTTTGTTTCTTCCTTTACCAAAACAGTGGTCAGGCAGGTGCAAGAGGACAAGGTTTAACAGCTAGAGAAGTTGAGCAGTCAAAACCAGCCACTCGCTTCATGTTCATCCTCTTGCAGGACTCTAAGAATGTAACCTTTAAAAAAATTCCTTTATTTTTAATTAAGATGAATACCATGAAAATGCCTGGTTTTGTGAATTTCAATTTAATTCTAGTTTCTCACAAAGTTAACCTTTCCTACTAACAGATTGTACTGAAGTAAGACACTCTATTTTCTGGTATAATTCACTTTCCATTTTCTACTTAGTAACAGAATAAAACAATTCAAAATTGTGAGGAAAAGTACTGCAGCTTAAATAAGGGTATGCAATTAGAGTATCTTCTCCATTACAAAAAATTCTAATCAACCAGTAGGAATCAACCAGTCCACAAAGAGATAACTCAGACTTGCCAGTGCAAACCAAGATTGATTTCAGTTATTTAAATCAGTTTCATACCTGTCAATATAAATCTTTATGAAAGCAGTGATTTTGAATCAAACCACTTTGGAGACAGCACTACAACACTTGAAATGCCCAGTCATTACAGCACGAAGGAGACAAATATAGATCACAGGCAGAGAAGACCAGAGAGATGACAGTTTCTACTTGCCTTAATTCCTGGAAGAAGTGCAATTTCACAACACACAGGGCAAGGGCAGACTTGTGACAAGAGAGAAGCAACAACCTCCTGCCACCCCAAAACAAGCTACAGGAAAATCACGGCTCTTTTCCTGGGTTCCCAACATTTCTGTGAACAAAGCAGCAGCTCAGCAGACTTCAGGGCATCACTAAACGAGGAGGTGCTGCTGGGCTCCCAGTTGTGTGCTCAGCTCTGGGGCAAATGGCACTGAGCAAATGCAGAGCAGCAGTACAGCACAGGGAGGGTCAGAGCACAGACTGACCAAGAGGAGCAAGCAGAGGTAAGTTGGCCAGGCAGCAGCCAGCACACCCACAGAAGAAATGCAGGTTAGCAACAGCAGGATGTTAGCAACATGTAACAAGTTCCCAGAGGAACAAGATGCGATAAGACTTCGATCAATCTTCCAGGTAAGGACCTGGCAAAACATCAGCAATTGTCTCTAAGTCAGCACCAAATCTGTATCTGGCCTCTAGGGATGTTAGAATGGAGGCAGAAGAAAAATAATTGTCTCCAGTTTTTGTGGATTATTTCTGCAAATGATGCACAGAATGCAAAGAACACATGTCAGGGCTGTATGACGCTACAGTGGAAAGGAGGGGACAGAAAGCTTTGGCTGCAGCAACAGGACCTGAGCTCCTGTGGGACACATAAATACAACAAAGATGCCCTGAACTGGGATGATCCTTATGAGGATATAAAGAAATGAACACTACTAACCTGTAGAAAGCAGCTGGTTCTGCATTGACACGAATCTGCATGTGCTTGAACCTGGATAACCAAGAAAAACATAATGATGATACACAAATGCTCAGTTAATTATGTAGCCAAAACCCCTGCTAGAGGAAACTCATCTTACATCTGTCAGAGCACTGATCTGAGGCAGTTCCTGACAGAAGCACTCAACGGGCTCAAAAAGGCACCAGAGACCAAGGCTTAGCACATGGTGACATCATTCTGGACCAGCTCAATGGTGCATTTGTTTGGTATCCTGCTCTCTGCTCACAACTTCTTAGCCCTTGGTCCTGTTTGCTGCTAGTCCAGCATCTCGACCATACAGAATCACCACAACCAACTGCCCTGATCTAGGCTCCCTCTGCCACACCAGCTTCTGCTGCTGTCCTTGAATACCCTGAGCCCCGGGGAAAGCTGCAAAGCCCCTGCCACACACCCAGCCAACCCTGCAAAGAAAAGGAGAGTAGGTGAGTTACAGAGCATATGGAAAGACTGTGATATTTTGGGAACTTAATGAAAGTGGTGGTGAAGCAAAAACCTGATTTCTGTCAGTAGATGCAGTTCGCTGAACTTGCATCTGCACCCAGTGAAGCTCCACGTTCAGTTTTCTTCAACACACCCATAGCAGAGGCATCAGCAATGACCAGGCAAACAGCCTGAAGACTGAGCTGGGAGACTGAACCAAGGGCACTGCCTGCCATGACAAAGGGCAGTGTCCATCAGTACACGGACTTTGGAGCATGATTGCACAGGTAGGTTTCTCTGAGTGGGGGGAAAGTCACAGACAAGAGAAGCAGCTGCATACATAGCACTGAATGGGGACAAAAATGTAGCTTTCACAGGAGCTGCCAAGAAACAGTGAAAACACTGCTCAGCTGCGACTCACCTGAAATCGCCCTCCAGTTTTTCCTGCTGCACAAGTTTAGACACAATTGGGCTCATCAATAGTTTGTTTGCAATCGTCCCAATGACAAAATATCCAAAGATGCTCACTGGGCCTAGCCAGCCTGTGCTACAGAGAAGGAGAAAGAGAGGTCAGCTAATAATCCAAGCAAAAGGACATTCCTGCATCATTGGTATCAAGCAATCAGAGACCTCAGTTGTGACCTCTCTTGGCTTTCACAGAGGTTTGGGAGCCAACACTGCACACCCCAGTATCCCCAAGGCAGAATTCCCATTGGAGTGCAGAGACTACTCATCTGTGTGTACAAACATCCATCTGGGGAGTTGTAACATGGGTGCCAGGCTTCAAAAAAGAGCATAGGATAGAGGCATGAAAGTATGGCCAGGATGCATCCTTACCTGTGAAAGCACTGGTGTGTGTAGTAGGCCAGTGTGAAAGGTGAGATGACGAGCTTGCTGGCCATGGAGCTGAGCTGCCTGCAGAACCTCTCCACATCCTGGCTGATGCGCTGGTCCCTGCTCAACACAAAGAGCCGTGGACACTGTTAAAGCCTAGATGCAAGAACCAGTACTAAACCCCTAAAAGGGAACAAGCCAGACTGTTTCACTATGGGAACTTAGGACAGGGTGAGGTGAATGACCCTGCCTGGGAGGGACCTGCAGCTGTGACTTCTGCTCCCCCATAGGAGACCGTTTCCATGGCCCAGCAGGACCAAACTAAGAGGGCCTCCCTGTCACCCAGGAAGAACAGCTCTTGCTGTTACTTTCACCCTGTTCCTTGTATTAATCCTTTGTTTCACTTTCAACAACATTGCTCAACTCTGTGCTAAAGGTCTCTGCATTCTTGTCCTTTACTCCTCTCCTGGAACAACCCCCAAACTACAAAACACTGCTGACTCTCCCCCAGACCTTCAGTACTGGTCCTGCATTTCAGGCATGAGAGCCATTTGCACTGGCTACGGCACAGGCCTTTGTCAACTGTTGCAAATTTGCAAACACTGCCACAAAGCCACACTTCCACAGTAGCAGGTCCTTTTGCTGCAAGGAAGAAAGTGCTTCCACTTGCCCTAGCTCCCAAGAGCAGGCAGCAGTACACCAACCCTCATTGAGAACCTCATTGGCAGCAGGCACACGGGTGACAGACCTTCAAGTCCCACCTATTGCACTACTGAGCAGGAGTTGCACTTGGGGTAACTAGAAGAATTTCAACATATTTACTCCCTTGGCACCTCATCTGCCCAGAGTATACGGACAAAGACTTCAGCCTGCTGTGCTATGCCCAAGTGGAAAGGACGTGACTGTGAATGTTGGAGATCAGAATAAAGAGCAAGGCTGGACCCCTGGTTATTCTCAGTGCAGATACAACTACAATGACTTTCATCTCAAATCTTTTGCAGCCCTGGAACAGCAGTGGATGTAGGTTTGGGGCAGCTCTCACCCTGACTGACCTTACAGTCATAATTTTTTCTTTCTCCTCAGACTGCAATTGTTCCCATAAAGTTGTAATTTAAGATGTGCTACAGACTCATGGGAGGCTATTGCTTTTTACGAGCTATTAAGCAACATGTAATGAAAACACATAAACATCAATTCAAATGCCCTGTTAGGTGCTGCAAGTGTTTGTATGTCACTTAGAATGCACTCTTCATTCCTTTGAGATGGATGACTCCACGCATCTAACACTCAGCTTGGTTTGCACTGCATAATGGGAGGTCTCTTCATCTCTCTATTTCATTCTCTCTAAGATGCAGAGAAAAAATTCTCATCAAGAAATTGCAAGCTGAAGAGAATTTTTCCAGCGACACCAAAAAGACACTAAACAATAAGACTGGATGTTGGAGCAGAAGCAAGGCGTTAATGAGAAATACTCTGCAGTAATCTCACACATTTGGTCTGCTAAGGTCAAGAGAGCTGGCTCTATTGCTGCAGAGCAGAGTGACCCAGTTATCTCCTGCATTTCACTGCACAGTGTGAACACATTCCCTGGTTAAAAATAAACTTGACCAGAATAATCATGTGGTGAGGGGCCTCTGTCCTCCACTTCCCTTCCACCTCCAAGGAAAAAGACAGGCATGCAGGCTATGGCCAATGCACTACACTTCCTGGGAAGCACTGCATGCCTTGGTGCATGGATTTTTCATCTCTCCTTACAACTCCGCTACCACTGCAAAACACCATCAGAAATGAACAGGAAAGCCTGGAATCTCAAAACACCTGTTCGTAAAACATTATCCTTTGATTTCTTGTTTTTCAGCAAGTATTTAATAATAACTTCTTTAAATTCCAGAGGGGGGGAAAAAAGCCTCTACCTTGAGATTGGCTCAGTTGGTTAGAGCATGGTGCTAATAACACCATGAGTTCGATTCCTGCATGAGCCATTCACTTAAGAGTTGAATTCAATGATCCTTGTGCGTCCCTTCTACCTCAGAATATTCTGTAATTCTGTGACTTCTCACATGATGTCTCACGTAGGATCTTTAACTCTTCAAACTGTATAACTACAACAGCAGTGCCCTGTGTGCAAGGACAGGCTGGAAGGCCAAGGTCCACATGCAGTTGTGAGGAAGGGAGGTGTTCGACCTTTGCTGCACAGCCCAGGAAGATCAGCAGCTCTGCAGTAAGCAGAACAGTGCACCAAGCAAATTGGAGAGGGACTTCGGCTGGGGTGGGCTGGGACAAGCAGGGAGGGACTGAATGCTCCTCCTCTCATATTTTGAGTCACTCCTGACATTTCCTTCCGAGGAACAGGAAAAGGGAAATGCAGCCCTCATACAGTGCAAAACAAAGCCCTTCCTGGATGTTACTCCCAAGGGTTGTCAAAACCACTAAAACCCCAACTGAACAGAACTGTGTTCAGCTGCAGACTCTGGTGGTTGAAGTTCAAACAGAACAGGGACTGTCCTAAAGCACTGGCTGTGTGAAGGCAAGAAAGGCACTGCTCTCTGACTTCAGCCAGGCCCTTTGTAACGTCACACTGAGTGCCAAGGGTTGAGTTTGCAGACAGCATGTTTTATACTAGAAGTAGGTGCCTGTTCTGATTGATATCCATATTCCTTGCAACTGAAACATCCTACCCCTAAAACCATCATGACCAGCAGTCACAGGAGTTCCCAGCAACAGGTACCACCAATGCAGAAGAGGGCATTTGTGCCTAAATGGTAAAAGCTTCTAGGGCTCAAGCCCCTAGCCAGAGACACAGAGAAGCCAGGAAAAGGTGCACAGCAGTCCAGGAGAAGCCAAGCAAGATACTGAAAAAAGCCGCAGGCAGCCTACGGATTATCGATGTCCTCACGCAGCACATGCAGGCTGTAGTAGACCTGGCCTTGGAAGTAGCAGCTGTGGAGGTATTCAGTGAGGGATTTCCTCCAGTTCACGTACATCATGTTGCAGATAAACTGGTCGAAGCTTTTTAGCTGGAATGAGGGCAAAGAGAAAGACAGGAAGAGATAAGTGAGAATAACAAGCATTTCCCAAAATGAAATAAAAACTAGCAGTTTGTACTAGTGATCCATCTCACACATATCTACCTAGCTGGACATGGGCAGACTTAGATCCTTTGTGACCAGAATCATGACGGTAGCCAAGGGCAACTTTCCCTTCCTCTCCCAAGACATGTTGAGCCTCTGGTCTTACCGTGGAGTTCACTATGATCAGAGTCACGGCAACGGCAGTCAATGTTTTGAACCCGGAGAAATCTTTGTTCCCTAGGACCTCATAGTACTGGCTGGGGATGACGCCGACCTGGTAAATAACCAGCTGCTCTGGAGGAGGGAGGCAAGCACAGGAAGGAATTGAAGGACAGCGGTGACAAGGCCAAGCAGGGGAGCACGGGGAGCAGCCGTGGGATGCCGCCCCCCCATCCCCACCACCCCGGCCCACCCAGCAAGGCGACACCGAGCAGAGTCAGAAACATGAGGGCGCTCGCGGAGGGCCACCCGGGGAAGAGCACGGCCAGCAGCCGCAGGAACCGCCGCAGGAACAGCCCGTCCAGCCGGGGGACAGCCCTGCAACGGAGGGACACGCGGGGGCCGGCAGTGAGCTCGGGGGTTCCCATTCCACTCCACCTCCCCTCCGCCGCGTCTCGCCCTGGCCGCGGAGGCGCCCCCAGCCCGGCCTGTTCGGTCCCTCCTCACCGGCCGCCGGTCCCGGCGCCCCCCGCGCTGCCGCTGCCACCCGCCATCGGACCCGCCGGACCGTCCGGGAAAGCACCGCCCCCGCGGGCGCTACATGGGAATATCCATCAGCTCTCCTCGCCCGGCATCAGCCGCGCGCTTCCGCGTGCGGCGTCACCATAGAGATCCCGCCCGCCAGCACCGCCCCTCCCGCGCGAGACCCGGCAGGAGCGCCCCCTGGCGGGGCACCGCCCTCACCACGGGCACAGCACCCCCTGGCGGCGGCGTGTGAGTTTATGCGGGGAGGGCGAAACCTGAGGCGTCCCCAGGAAAAGGGACCTGGCGGGGGATCCCGGTGCCGTGGGTGCGCTCCCGTCCCGCACCTCCACCCCATCCGCCCCCTCACACAGCCGGCCCGTGGCTGCCGGGCACGCTCCAGGGCCGAGCCACAGGCAGCAGGGCTGCAGAAACCAGGCACTACCCCTCTTCCCCTGAGGAAGGAGCTGGGCGGGCGCGACCTGCTCCCTCTGGGGATCCCAGAGGCTGAGGGACGGTTCCCCTGGGCAGCGGGTACTGTCCACCTGTCACAGGGGACACAAGAAAGGAGGACTGGCACTGGTTCTGCATGTTTGGCTTATTTTGGGGTCAGCAGTGAAGTTTCAGGTTGCTTCGAAAGGACACACAACTTGTGGTGGCCACTGCAGGGGATTTCTCAAGTGGAGACCTTGGGATAAGGCAGCGATTCCCACCGTGATGGTGAACGGCGGTGTGTGCTCCCCACTCTCCTGCATGAACTGGAGTGGGGCAGCACGAAACCCCAGGCAGAGGGTAGGGAGGGACTTCAAGAAAGCAGCAATGGGCTGCGCCAGTGAATGGACTCTCTCTGGCTTCTCAGCGATCCCAAGTTTCATACAGAAACCAACAATTATTTTTTTCCAGATTTGGGCTGACTTCTGGTTTCATAACCTGGAATTCTGGGTTGTGAAATGTTTCAAAGCAAGTAAGTTTCTGGACAAGTCTGATGATAAGGGATGAGGGATCCTATGAGTTTGCATCCCTTCCTTTTGTGTCTCACACCTACCACCCTGTTGATGCCATTTCTTCTGCAGAGCTTTTGGGATTCTGCACATACCCCTTCCTGTACACCAAGTAGCTTTGTTCTTCTCCCAGTTCCCTGCCTCCCAGCCCTCTTTCTCTTCCCTCATCCTCCTTCATCTTTGCTCTGCTTCTACCTGCTCAGTGGTCCAGATACTTCAATACACAAAATCAGAGCATATGTACGTACTCAGGGATGCAAGAAGACACATCAATCTGTTTCCTCAGTAAATGGCCCTGTCCCTAAGCAGTGTCCCTTTCTCCTTGTCCTCATCTCCTTCTCTCAGCTCTTTTACTGCATTCACAATGCTATCAGTCATACCTAAAGCTTAAGCTTCAGAGGGCAGAGATCAGCCCTCTGAAAACCTGACCTCAGCGATGACTAATTTTTATGTTAAAAGAATTGGGTTTTTTTCTCAGCTGTTGCATCAGACCTGGGCAACTGTTGCTCCCAGGCAGTCACATCCTCTCACGGTGCAGTACTGCAGCTGTGGCAATTATGTGTGTCATCTTTTCAGTACTTACCGGGACTGAACTGACTCCTTTGCTCTCTTGTCCACTTTATGACAAGGGGATATTCCTCCCCTTCCCTTCCCAACTGAAGAAATGACTTCTCAGCACCAAGGGAGCCAGAGGATCTGAGATGGCTAGAACTGCCTATCCCAAGCCCTTCCTCCTACCTGTTCCTCCTCCCTGCCCTTTGTTCTGTCCCTGTCACCCCATGACCACCACCTGATAAAGCACAAGTGAGCTCCCTTTAGTGTATCAGCTTCAGGATTTTTCCTGGGAACCCTCCTAAGTCAGCCAAGATCAAGAACAAAAGATAAGTGCCTTCTCGGTGACTCTCCATCCCCCCTTGGAGGCTATGCCCTAGACACTCTGTGCTCTCAGCACAGAAACATTTACATCTTTTACAGCACTCCAGCTCTACTTCTCACGTTTCTCCCCCAGCAAACACCATGGCCATTCCAGTGTGTGTGCCTGGGGGCAGGGCTTGGGAAAGGACTGGGGAATCACAACTTGAGCAGGGGTTTATGTTTGCACTGAAGGGCCATATCTCAGCTCCCTGACTAGCTACAGACCCTAGAGAAACCCCTCTGCATTGCTAACCTGTCACTAAAGTGCCATGAATCCAGGGAAGAGAAAGCTGGGCATGGCTTGCTAGGTCCTGGACTCCTTGAGGCAGTGTGAGTGAATTCCTTGTGGTATTTAAATCCAGCCCCATTTGCTCCTGCTTGCTAGGTGTGAAACATCCCATCCCCCATCCTCCCCTGCCTGCTGTTAGATGCATTTTTGCCCTGTCCTGGACCAGTGAGAAAAGCCAGATCCTCCTGCACCCCCAGACCCACAGCGGTACCCTCTGTGTTCCCATTTCCCTGTGGTCCCTCTCTGCCTGTTGGTCCGTAGCTGGGATGTAGGGAGAAGCCTGACAAAGCCATTTTTCGCTGTCTTTGAGGGGCAAGTGGCTCTGGGTGTTCTCTGAAGGAAGCAGCAGCTGTCTGATCACAGAAACACAGAACTGCACCCTTGACTCTGCAGCTTGCTTTCCCTCTTTCACAGGTCTTTCTTAATGCAGCTGGCTTTGTGTGATGTTGCATAATGAAGCACTGCCAGAAGATTATCCCCTTCCTGGGCTTTCCAAAACCAAATCCACCATTTCCTGCCCATGTTTCCAGTTTCTAGTCTCTTCATATGTGCCCATCCTCACTGGAGTTTGCAGCTTCTTCAGTTTGGGATCACCTCCAAGCTTTAGCCCTCTGTCAGATCATTAGTAAGGGAGAGGTAATGAAGGCTGCTACCCTCAGTTTCAGCTCTGTCTGCATTACGGTATGAAATAAACCAACTAATTTTCAGCTGGACCAGCAACCTGAATTAGTTGAGAGAGTCCCTCACACACTTCTGTGCCACCCCAAAGCGAAGGGTGGGAATGGGGAACAGAGGGAGGCAACTAGCAGAGGCCAGGCTCAGCATGGCTTAAACCTCCATGGAGCCACACCATGGGCTCCTGCTGGGATATCTTAATGATTCTGCCTTTTCCTTCTCCACACTCTGTGCCTTAATTAGCCTTTCCCCCTCCTGTGGGCCAAACTGCTCTGCTTTCTTTTCAATCCTCCTTCCTTGTGCTTTGCCTCTAACAGTGTCTTTCTACTGTACACTTCAAAGGCTTTTCTTGTTGCATCTCCCCCATGCTGGTATCGGCTGGTAACACCCCAAAGCAGGCTAGGTCTGCCATGAACTCATAGCCATTGAAACGGCTTGAGGCCCTTTGGATCTGGGTAAGAAGAAGGCATGGGGGACGAGAGGTGAAGGATTTTCATCATTTCACCTACGAGAAGAATTATTAGCAACACAGGAAAAACGAGGGGGAAAGCAGACCCCTCCTCCACCCACCCTCCCCAGTGGAGAGCCCGCTGAGGGCAGAGTGCTTTTATGTGCAAGTGGGAGGGGAGGACAGTGTTAGGGCTTCAGAGGGAAATGCTTTGATCTTGACTTTGAATCTCCTGCAGTTCCCAGCTCTCCCCCATCCCTGCCACCCATGGCCAGGACCCCAGGATATGGCCAAGACTCCTGGTCCTTGCTTGGTGCTTTGGTACCGCACTTAGTGCTTCATGTTTGATTTCCTCCTATGTGCCAGGGAGCCTCATGGGGCATCGGGAAACAAGTGCACAGTGCCAAGACCAATTTTAAACTTTCCCTCCAATCTCACAGAGTGAGAAGGAAGAGGGAGGCCAGCTGGACAGAAGCCAGAAGGCAAAACAGTCCCGAGCTGAGCAGAAGTGAATTAGAGATGCGACCTACTGTCAGGGCTCTGGTATCCCAGGGCAAGAGACAGGCAGACCTAGCTCCCCTGTGCACTCATGATGCATTAGACTGGTCAGTGCTGAACAGCATCCAGAAGATGAACTGGGAGGCAGTCACCATTAGGAGAGGGACACGGTACTCTGGGTGACTCTCAGGAGACAGCACTTAGGTTCCCTGGTCCCACAAGAAGGGCTCTTAGGTCAGAGAGAACAGCATTGAGGGCTCTGGGTGTTCTTTAAAGGATGGGAAGGAGGCAGCACTGAGGGGTGCTGGAGGAAGGGGAATGACCCTGAGCTCTTAGTCACTTCAAAGGAGGAGGGCAACAGGGTATGGGAGAGACTCAGTCTCTTGTCCAAGGTGGGATCTAATACGTAGGTCAGTTCCCCACTTCCCTTGGGAGATGAAACTCCTGGCTGGGCCTTGCCACCAAACTGTCCTAAAGTTCAGGCCACATACTTCTGCCCACTGTGCCACCCCTCTGTCCTCAGTCACGTGGCTGAAGTCACTCCTGTAAACTGCTCTCGCTCACTGAGGTTGATGCACTCCATGTCACTGCCTGCCAGTTCTTACTTCAGCATCACCAAATAGAATTTCTCCTCACAACGTCTCCTATTATAATTCAATGACTCCAGCAATATTGCTTTTGGCTGAAAACTCCTTGCAGTTTGTCACCTTCCCTCTCAGTGTGATGTGAGCAGAACTGAATAAAATCCACTGTCTGCTGGCATCCAGCACTGCCCAGGGCATGCACAGACAGAAGGATGCCTAACAGGACCTCTACACAGAGCCCAACAGTCAGTCTCTCTGATCATCACTTTAAGGGCTTCAGCACAGGCATGAGGTAGTGGGTTCAGAGGTGGTTTCAGGTCTGGGAATGAGAAGTACCAGATGATATGAACCCCAAAACAGGACTTCTGTCATTCACCTTGAACAAGTTACTACAAAAATTGGTGCGCACTCCATGTTTTCCAGTTCCCTGTTGGGTACAATCACACCAGAACCACTTGACATTCCTTTCCCCTAAGACTGGTGGGTATATTGCAGCTGTAGCAACCCTATTTCTGTTGCCAATTCAGACTGCAAGTTCTGCTCATTGCTTTCCTTGTAGAGCAATGCCAGGCACAGGAGAGAAACCCAGCCAAGACAGCACACTTAGGACCCTCATGCTCTCATTTCTGTCAGCCCCTCAGCAGTCCCAGCTCCCCTGACTTCTCAGAAGGATGACAGCACTCAGATTCAGATTCTGCAGTGCTCTGGAGGGAGAAAGATGGGAAA